ATTTCATGTACAATAAATATTTCCTTAATTTTTCGTACTAAAATGTTTGTAATAAATGTTTCAGTTCCCTAAGCCATTAAATCGCTCTTCTGTTTTCGTCGTTCTTAGCATAGAAAATATTACTTTCAGAAAACACTAAAAAAGCTAATTTAGTAGATACTAAATTTTTAATTTTTTAGTACTCCGGAAACCAAAAAAAAATATTTAGTTTGTGTTGCTGATTCAAAGAAAATTGTGAATTTACATTGATCCTACGATAGCTTCCGGCATAATTTTTAGTACTCACCGACTTATGTAAGTGCTAAACTCATGAAAAAGTCTGCTTAAAAAATATTTCACACATTTTTTTTACAAAACTTTGTGTGGACAATGTTTTAGATATTTTGTACTAAACGTCTATTAATGTAAAAATTAGAACTAAAATTTAATTCTGCAAATTTAAATTTGGTGCGAAAAATTTAGTACGAAAAATTGTGTACCAAAATAAATGGATATTACTAAACATAAAATACTAAAAATATTCAATTAACAATTTTTTTAATAAAAACTTTGTATTCCAATTTTTGTATTATAAATTTTGTATAAGAATTCATACATTAAACATTTTTTGCGAGAATATTTGTATTAAAATCTTTTGTACAAACAATTGTGTACGCTTTTGTATTAAAAATTGTGTTCTAAAGTTTTTGTGTTAAAAATTGGGTTCTAAACCTTTTTCTAAACTTTAGTTATAAATTGTATACTAAAAATTAAGTACTGATAAGTTAGTACTTACAGTGATTTTAAAAGCTTAAGTATACTTTTTGTATACGCTTTTCAATACGCAACTTATACGCAATTCAAAAATTGCACAATTTTTGGTTCAATTAACCGGGGCAAGAATTAGAATATGTCTAACCAATTATGCGGAGAATCCAATTAACCGGAGCTCAATCAAGCGGGGAATGCTGAATTGTTTTTATTACAGTATTTTGTAATATTTAAGTAATAAATGCCCTTGTTTGAAAAAATTTATTATTTTCTTAAAAATATTTACAGTATTACCTCTAAGGTAAATAATGAAGCTTTCCTTAGTGAATAAATGAAAATTTACAAAATATTTTAACACTATAAGGCTCAGCAAAAACATAAAATTATTCTCCCTCGCTATTCCGAAACTCACTCAACAAACAAATATAAAAAAATGTTGGAAAAATTCTTCTTTCTGTGCATTGAAAAAAATATCTTCGGCCACCCACAGAAACAACCTTAGGCAGCGCAAAGTACCCGTGTAGCGCTGCAGGTAAAAATCTGCGGTAGCAAAGTGAAAATTTTGTTGAGAAAATCGCATGAAAACAATCTGCTATGCAACCAACAAAGCCGAGCATGCAACACATTGCTGCATGTGCTGCAGGTGATGCGTGTGCAACAAACTTTTACAGACATGCGAAGGCGATTCCAAAAAAGGGTTGTGGAGTAAGAGGAGTAGTTGAGAAAAAAATCAAAAGCAATACAGGGTACGAAATTGAACAGCCCAAGTTATGAGTCGACAAGAGGATGAGCGAAAAAGTTAAGCGAAAATGTGGTAACATTTGAAGTAGTTGCAACTGGCGAAGGGAAAATGGCAAACTACAAAAGAAATGTAGTAAAAACACTGGCAACTTTGCTATTCGCGCTTTTTGTTTGCCACAGTACTACTCTCCTTGGTTTTTCGTTGTTGTTATTGTTGCTCTCAACTTGTGCACTACATTGCTTTGTTTTTATTTATTTTTTACTCCTACCATTGCTGCCGTTGTTGCCATTGTGCAATCCGTTATATGTAGTGTTTTGGAAAATGCATTAACCACAACGGAAGGAAACATGTTGAAGGTTGTGTTGCAACGGCACTTGTAGCGAAAACGTTTCTTCCTTCAATCATCCGCGCCATACGCCTGCTCTACGTCTACATAATTTTACAGTTGCATTTTTTTTTGTTGCTCATCAGCTTTTGCGCTGCTCTGTTTTGTGGTGATGTTGCCGCCATCCGTTGCAGTTGTCGTTGCCATTAGCGGTCGGATGGAGTGCAATACAAAAAAAAAAATCGAAAACTGTAGTTTGATTATCCGCCCACCGGAGCCTATCGGCAGGCACAAGCATGGCAAGGCGGTCGAATTTAGCAGCAAATATTGGTAATGAAGCATCTGTTCGCCAGTGTGGCTTTGCCTCCACATGAGCTTGTTGTATATGAAGGCTCACTTTTAGGCGCGCAACGCATTAGTAATGCCTCGAGACGATAATTACAGCCAACGCTATGGCTGACTTCAAGTACTTACGCGTGTGGGCGTTCGGCTGTACGCGGCTATAAGCACATGTTGCGAATTTTGAGTTTTTAATGGCTTTGCATGGTGAAAAAATCAATATGGATGTAAGAAAATGGGAAAATTTCGTTGAGAACTTTTAAGCGCATATGTTGTGAGCACAGTTGAAAACCTAAGCGACGAGAGAGTAAGAAGGCCGCGAAACCCAAAAATAGTTTTAATTTAGTACTTAATTTGTAGTAAAAATTGTTAGCACAGGGGTTATTATATTTTTAAAACAGTTTTTTGGTATAAACGTTTTTAGTACATAATTATGATCAAGTTTTATCACTCATACATATATACAAATGTGCAAAAAGCTTAAGAAATAACTACCTATAAAATTTTTTACGAGCTTTAGTAAATATTTGTCTTTGGATACTAAATTTTAATCATATTTCGTCAATAGAACCAAGTTTATAGATTTCAAATATCTTCTAAAACATTTCATTTTTTAACAAAAATTCGTTGGCAAACAATTTTTTGGACGAAAGTTTTAAAAATGTGTTTAAAGAGGGCCTATAAATGTTTCTAAATACCACTGCTAAAATTCAAAAATTGTGAGAGCAGATTTTTGAGCTAACAATTTTTTTTAGAAAAACAGCTGTTTTACAGCGTTTTTAATTACAGCAATATAAAATATTTAATATTAAAAATTGTGGTATGAAATTTTTAGTAAAAAATTTTTTTTATAAAGCTCTTAATACTATTTATTAGGTCTTAGCATACAATTCTTGCTATAAAATTTTTTATACTCAATTTTTATCACATTTCTAGAATCAAAAATTAACTAGATTTTAACACACAATTTTTAGAACCAAATTGTTTTGTCTAATTTGCATTAAAAAATGTATAGTTTTAAATGCTTAGTACAACAGTTTTTAGAAAAAAAGTTTTAAGTACAAAATTTTTAGTATAAACTCTCAGAATGAAATTGTTGGCATAAATTTTCGTACAAAATCTTTGCAAAAACTTTCATAAATTTTTCAAAGCTAAAATAATAAGGAAACATTTTTTCATTCAAAATTTTTAGAATAAAATTTTTTATATCAATTTTTAATAACAATTTTTTAGATATTATCTTCAGTAAAAAAAAAAAATGTAGTAAAAAATTATAAGTGCAAACGTTTAGAAGGAAGGTGCTAGCATACAATTTTAAGTACAAAGTTTTAGTACCAAATAAAAAGTATGTGTAAAATGCTGAGAAGTAAAACTTCAGCACAAAACGTTAAGCAGAAAACATTTCTCAAAAATATTTTTAAGGGCAAAGCTGTGAGTAGTAAATTTTTAGTACACAATTTTCAGGTAAAATTTTTAGTGCAGAATGTTTATTAAACAAATTTTAGTACAAAACTTTCAACTAAAAAATTTGTTCTACAAAATTTAGAGAAACAAGCTTTTTTTCAAATACTTGACGCGCGAAATTTTTGGTTAAAAATATTCAGTGCATAAGTTTTAGAACAAAATTACTAGTATAAACGTTTTAGTACAAAGTTTATGGTACAACTTTTTTGGTACAAAATTTATGTATGTATATAAAAGATGTTGGTATTACCAATTATTCTTTAAATATATGGTACAAAAGTTTTTAGTAGTGACAAAAAGTTATAAAAAGTTCTAGGTTTGAAATATTAAAACTTAGGTTTTAGTACTTTTCAGTACGCTATTATTACGAAACTTTTGTTATGAACTTTTAATACAAGCTCTTTAGTACACAAGTTTTTGTACAAAATCTGTTTTAACAAAATTTTAGTACGCAACTTATTGTTAACCACTTTTTCCACAAAATTTTCAGAACAAAATTTGGGGTACAAAATTTGTATAACAAAAGTTTTGTGCCACGAAATTTTTGCTTAAAATATACTAGTGACAAAAGTTCAAAAAGAGTTTTACGTTAGAATTTTTAAAACCTTTTTGGTGCACTATTAGTGCAGAAATTTTATTAAAAAAATTTTTGTGCGAAATTTTAAATAATAAAATTTAATTGCGAATTTTTTAGTACACAAGTTTTTTTTACAAAATGTTATTAAACAAATTTTGAGTAGGTAAATTTTATTTAAAAAATTTGTGTATGAAATTTTCAGAAAAAAATGTTTACTACTAAAATTTTTGTCCCACGAAATATTTGTTTAAAGTATTCAATAAAGTGTTTAAACAAAATTATTAAAACAAAAATTTTAGTACAAAATTTATGGTACATTTCTTTAGAACACCTTATTTGTAAAAAATTCTTTATGAAACAAGTTTCCTTCTTCAAATTTTTGGTTTAAAATTATCAGTACATAAGGCTTGTTGTCGTAAAAAAAATTTAAGAAAAAATGTTTGGTTTGTATTTTTAAGAACCTAGATTTTAGTGCGACTTGGGATTATTTCATAACAGAATAAATTCTGTTAAAGTCAATTTAAAAAAAAAAATTTAGAGACTACGATATCTAAACACATTACAACTTTTTCAGCACTACCGTTGCATACTTTTAAGCGAAATACACATTTAATACTGGTCAAGTACGTCAAAATTAAATGCATATAATTTGAAATTGAATTTCTGAAAACAATTTTTTCCTATCTAACGAGTTTTCCTTCACAGAGCAAATTTCAATATTTTTTGGCTGTTTTTTTTGGAAACTTTGAATTTTTCCAATTTTTTCGCAAAATCTTCAACTATTTTCTGGGCGCCTCCAACACATGGTTCGAGCGCATCTCCATACTGGTCATCCTCTTCAACTGTGTGACATTGGGCATGTATCAGCCGTGCAAGGACGAGGAGTGCCTAGAAGTACGCTGCCGAGTATTACAGGTGAGTGGAAGTGAAAAGAAGGAGTAGACGACAAAAGTGAATTACCAAAATCCCAAATCTACTTGCATATTATTTTATTTATCCGCACAGCCTTCATTGCAAATCAAAACAATATTTGCTGTTCGTTCATGTAGCTTTAATTAGAATTAATTGAAAAATGCCATAAATAATGCGGCACATTTGTGAAATTAATTGCAGAAAATTGTGTACATACATATATAATATCGAGCAACAAATGTTGTTGTTTGCAATATTGTAATAATCAATGGTCAATTTAATTGAAATGTATTAACTAACACAAAGGTTTGAAATGCATGCATTTTCAATGTGCATACATGCATACATACATATATACATACATATATATTTGCGAGTATTGCAGCATAAACAATAACAACAATAATGCCAATTTTGTACACATTACTCGCCGTTTATCTCAGTGAATGCTATGAAATTTTATGCAAATCTAAATTGCAGCTGCCAAAGTTGAAATGAGACTGAAGTACTTTGAAAATAGCAGAAATACCTGATGATGGCGGATAGACATACATACATGCAATATAGTACATATGCATGTATAACAAAGAAACGCCTGCACTTGATGACTGTTTGGCTTGCATGCCAAATTAATTACACATACATACATACAAACACATATAAATAAACGCATAATACTCATACGCCATGTGGTCACTCTGTTGGTTTAACAAATATTTATTACACTTGTTGCTTTTGAAATTGAACAAATTAATAGAAGCTCTGAAGAGGCTGCGGAAGGTAAAGTACAAATTGTAATCATAGATGGAGGTCACACGGAATCTATTAAATTATAATAAAAAAGTACACAATGACTACATATAATTCAGGAATCGAAAATAATTTTATTTCAAAAAGTAAGTCGGAAAAAATTGTTCTATTTAACTTAGTGATGATGACTGTTAGCCAAGGAATATTAATCGTATGTGATTTAAATATTTCGGAATTTTTTCAAAAAGTCAGTAATTAACCATTATTTTTTACCGATATTTCTTCAATCAAAAATTATAGTTGAATTTTTACTTTTATTTGTCCGGTCAAAAATAAAAGTTAAAATTTGACTTTAATTTTTTCGGTAAAAAAAGTCACAAATTTACTTTCCTTTTTTTGCGGCCAAAAATAAAAGCCACAAATTTGCACTAATTTTTTTCGGCCAAAAATAAAAGTAAAAAAAGTTAAAATCTGACTTTTAACAGTTAAAATTTTACTTTTAATTTTTTGGTCAAATATAGAAATTATATTTTTGCCGATATTTGTTCACTCAAAAATTACAGCTAAATTTTTTCTTTTATTTGTCCGGTTAAAAATATAGGCTAAAATTTTACTTAAATTTTTTTCGGTCAAAAATATAAGTCACAATGTGTCTCTCTTTTTTCGACCAAAAATAAAACTAAAAAATTTACTTTTATTTTTTAGTCAAATATAAAAGTAAAAATCTGTCTTTTGACAGCTAAAATTTTACTTTAATTTTTTGATCGAAAAAAGTTTATATTTTAACTTTTTTCGTTGACCGAAAAATAAAAGTAAAATTTTAAATTTTATATTTCACTGAAAACATACAGACAAATTTAAACGTTTATATTTGACTTAAAAAGTAAGTCCAACTTTAACGTTTATCTTTGATTAAAAAATGACTTTTATAGTTGGCTCAGCAAATTAATTTAAAAATTTTTTTTGACCGATAACATATCGGTGAAACAATAACAATTACGTTAAAAAAGAAGTAAAAGTAATAATTCAACCAATTAAAAAATAGTATGTAAATTTAATTAGCTTTGGAATTCGAACCTCCCAACCTCGTGGCTCTATAATTCGCATTACTGCTGTCTGTCAAGGTACAATTTTGATCAGATCAAGTGCGCCGATAATCCGGATCGACGTTGCGGTCTGCTTTTAGGGCCTCAATCGGATCCGTTTTGGTGCCACGGTGACTTTTACCGCCCTTTTCAACAAGCCAGTATGTAGGGTTGATAACATCACTCACGTCTACAAGGATTCCAGCACTAATGAACAATGTAAGCTCCTTACGGATACCGTCTCTCCCTCGCGCCTGTCTGTCCTGCAGAAGTCATTAAATGATGTGATCTGTCAGCAGATCCATAGCCAAAGATATTTCTCCTCTGCTCAGCAGAAACAGCTACATCCTGTATTACCGCAGGTTTGGCTTTGAAGACCTCAGTGCCTTTTTTATTCCTAGTTCTCCCGAGTACAGAGAATCCAAGTTTTGAACGTACATAAAACATGAGCATAAAGGATGTTGTTAAGACACCTCCTCCTCTTTAGCAACCAGAATTTACTTCATTCCCACCTTTGCGATATATAGTACATGTGTATATTATGAACTCTAGAGTAAAAAAAAATCGTATTCTAAATGGGAGCTTAAAATGTATATGAACGCATCTGCTTTTGTTCTCATATTAGATGCGTTAGCTGGAAAATTTTTGAATTTCTGAACGCACTAACCAATTTGGCTTTTATCCTATTTCAGGGCTGTGTACTGTACAAAGCATAAGAAGCATAAATTCCATACTTAATTTTAAGATGACAACAAGACAGTGCATCACGGAGGGTGAAAGTGGTTCCCCTCCAAAAGTTAACATAATTAACTGCCATATTGCTTTTCTGCATAACTAATTTTCAACTATTTACTGACCCAATTAAAAATGCTACCTTTTTCTAATCAACTAAAAACCTCCATTCTCTAAACTTTTTCAGCAAAACAGCCTTTTAAACGAAACATGTTGCGAAAAGGAAAAAGTGAATTTGAAGGTAGATATTTGAAGATAGCTTAAGCAACATAAAAACCTTTTGACTTTAACCGATGCTTGCAAAAACAATAATAGGAAAATAAAATACTAACCAACAAATTATTTTTAGTTCTTTATAGTTGAGTATTAAGCTACGCAACTGTATAATTAATTAGATTGTTTGTAAGCCAATTTGAAAAAAATAAAAATTCTTCCTGCGATCTACCCGTTAAAAACGGGAAACTATTGTATTGATACCGTTGTTATTAAACCACCGTAGCAAAGTGTAAGATAACCCTGACCGTGAATATGTCAGAATATATACTAATGGAGATTACTCATTGCTCTTGGAGTGCAAAATGTAGCGATTATCATAACTATAAGGCACCCACATATTTACAATTTTAGACAATTTAATTTTTATTGTTTAATGTCATTTTTTTTTTTTTTAGAAAAAATATAGTATGGATCCTAGTTTTAAAGTTAGTGCACTATTTAAAAAAAAATCAGCAAACTTCCGTAAAAATTTAGAGCTTTTTAATTAGGTTCCTGAAAATGATTCCGAGTAAACAGTTTTGTGACCTATTCAATTTTGGTACAATAAGGTGCAAGCTTAAGTAGTTAGGACTTACAATTGATTTTGGGCAATTTTTTGTGTTGAGAATGTCAATCATTTTCTTTCCTATAAAGTACATATACTATATGTGTTCGACGATTTTTTATATGGAGATAATGAGCGACACCTTCAATAAAAAAATTAAAAAAATTGCCAAAAAAATCCCAGCTATCTCAAACTGTACTTTATTATAATTAAATTGAAAGAACCACAAAACTGCCTACTCAAAATCTTTGTAAAAAATTTAAACGCGAAATTTTTACTAAAGTTTCTTGATTTTTTTTTTTAATTTGGCACAAAGTTCCAAACTTGGATTCATAAAGAATAATCCGCGATAAAAATTTATAATAATAAATATAAATGTAAAATTCAAAAACTCAAACTGACACACACATTCTCATTTTCAATCTCAAACAACAAAAATTATGAACAATTTATTTTTTTTTTCAATTCTGTATGATTTTAAAATGCTTGCAAACGTCAGAAGAAAGTCATGGCCGACCAAATGAGGGAATGGCTTTACCTTGTATTTTTTTTGTCACGGAATAAGCTATATTTTCATAAAAAAATAATTAAAATTGTATAAAAGTAGAATTGATAAAAAAAACCTGTCAATCTGTGGGTGTCGTATAGTTATGATAAGCACCATATATCAGCATTGATATCTTATCTTTTGATATGTATTAGCATGAGCTATCACTTTCTTACTTTGACACCAATATTTTCACGGATAGAAAGTGTATTTGTGGTAACACCATTAAAATTTTAATATTAAATCAAAAAAATAATATAATTTTAACTGGTATACAGCGTGGAAAAATTTTAAGAATTTTATTTGTGGCCTTAACCAAATAATACCCAATCGGTAGTATCTACGCTAGGTAATCGAACCTTAAGAGAATTTTGCTCCGCCTCATGACAATTTTTTTATAGCGTGCCAAAATTGCCACTTTTTTATCACATATTCAACTAAATAAATTGCATATAATTTCATTTATAAAAAATTCTTCAAACTGAATTCTTGTCTTAGGCGACCCATAATAAAACGATAAGATCAATTTTTTGCGTGGAACATTAGCCCTTTAGCTCCAACCATAGTGGATCATTTGGACCTTACGTTGAAAATATTCTACAGGAATATTAAGCAGTGAATTTGAGGACGGGTCACCCAAAATGAAAAAATCATCCAACTAAAGTTTATTATGCTAAAAAAAAGCTTAAGGTCAAAGTCAATTAAGAAATATTATTTATGTAAATCGAATACTCGTCTTCAGAGACCTACGAAAAAATTTTGTAAGCAATTTTATTGTAAAATTTAACCCTTTAACTCCTTCTAAAAAATGGCTGTGCCATATTGCTATTTATGATAACGTTTTAGATAGTGATTCAGTAAGTATTTAAGATTTAAAAATTTTTAAGCGCTAAAATACTTACACGTATCAAGAAATCAAAGTGTCTCCAAGTTGGCAATTACATGTCTGTGGAGATGTGTGGTCATTTCTCGTTGAATTTTTGAGACTTGAAATATTTAGCACAGATCAGAGAAAAATGTGACCAATGGTCCTATTTTATACATATTCAGTATTAATATCATGGAAAAA